TGCCTGACCTAAAAATGTCCCCTCCAGTGTGTATGTGTGATTGCTATAACGTTCCCATGACCACAGACCCACAGCCTTGTTCCCCTGAACTGTTCACACTGACCGTTCTTGCTGACCATTTGAGAACTCCGTAGCCGTAAGTTCCGTGTAATTGCATGCCTTGTTAACTGAAATCCAAGAGATTGTTCCTTTTTCGTTCCTTGTACCCTCACCCCCTGCTATGGAGCCCCCTTGCGGATTTTCCCTTTATAAGCTTCTTGCTGATTCCGCTCAGTGTCGAGAGCTTTCTTGGTGTGAGCCTGCTCCTGACTGCGTGCCATTAAAGGACTCAAAATTCGAACCCGGTGTGCTGACAATTCTCCTTTCTTGCGGTTCAGCTATAACACGATGAGGCTAGAAAAAACTCGATGAGATTAAGGACTGGCTTACTCCTTCTTGAGAAATCATCCCCTCAAAAGGAAGACGAGTCCCTCCTGCTCAGATAAATTGTTGGTCGAGCGTCTTAGCAGTCAGGTACACCCTGTGAACTGCAAGGCAAGACTGGGACTGAAGGTACGAGCCAAAACCTTGCCACAGTGTGGCGTGCAGGTGTCCCTCAGGGACCGCCGAAGGTCAGAACTGGGTCATCCACAAAGGGTCCTTTTGTGCCCTGGCCCTCTCACCACTACCAACAATCATCTCTGTCCTCGTCAAGGAAATCTGACGTAGTACAATTAGCTCAGCAAGTCCCCTTTCCTCACTTCTCAAACACCCTTCCAGGGTATGTGGAGTCATGTGGCTTCAAAGAAGACAGATATCCAATGGCCATACTTAACGACTGATCATCTAATGGGTATTTGCATACTGGGACACAAAGGGAGAATTTTTTTTTTTTGAGTTGTCACCCGGCTGGATGGAGTGCAGTGGCATGCTCGTGGCCACCGCAGCCTCGAACTGTTGGGCTCTGGCGATCCTTCCACCTCAGCCTTCCAAGTAGCCAGAACTACAGGCACACGCCACCATGCCCAGCTAGCACTGATCTTTCAAAGACAGCTACGTCTTCATTTAATTTCTCTGTATTTAATACCTCTTTGGTTCTTCTACATACAGATGTGTGCAATGGATTTGTACTGACATTTATTTTAAATACAGGTTTTTGAAAATTCTATTATAAAAATAATCATCTGTCCAGGTTGAAACTTATCTACAAGAGAATGTATTTGCCTAGAAGCCCTTGGAGAAAAGCCTTAGGCCAGAAGATCTTGTTTGGCCCTGACTGTATTAATACAATGAAAGTCTTGGACACTACCGCCTCTGGTCAGCAGTTTTCTCATCTGTTAAAAAAAGGAAGCAAAGAAGGAAGAGGGCTAGAGGGAGGAAGGTAAAGAAGCCAGGCTGAAGGACTTTGAAGGCCCCTTCCAAGCCACAGTTTCTTGATTCTGCTAAAAGAACTTCCCTTTAATACAAGGGGCAGCCTAAAAGAAAACCTGGAACCTGTTTATAAAAAATTGTGTATTTATTCCTACATGTTTAAACTTTAGTTACCTTCAAGGTCTTCTCTGTTGGATGCAAAATATTGGATGGAGACACTTTTTCCATGCTCAAAACAGTTTCGAACTCATCAATTTGGATGCCTTTGAGTGTTCTGCCGTTTTTTGTTTCATCTCTTCCCCATGGGCAAACCATCTCCCTTTGAGGACTTTTTTCATTCAGGGAAACAAAAAAAAGTTGTTCGGGATGAGATTGGGTGAAGAGGGAGGGTGAGGCATGGGGGTCACGCCATTCGGGGTCAAAAACTGCTGAACACTCAGCACGGTGTGGGCAGGTATATTTGTAAATCACCCAACACAAAACGGGCAAATGCGTTGAAAGAGTCTCCAAAAAAAAATCCCGAAGCCGGATGCAGTCTCCCACAATGCCAGCTAGTCCACTGATGCCGACAGGTTCCTAGAACACTTACCTAGCGGGGGAAGCCTATACAACAAGGGGCCTGCCTGCCAGATAATTCTGGTTCTTATGGGGTCCCCCCTTGTACACTGAACAGAGGTCTGCCAAGCAGAATGGTAACAATAGCTACCAGCTGGGCCCAGTGGCTTGGGTCTGTAATCCCAGCACTTTGGGAGGCCAAGACAGGAGGATCGCCTAGGCCAGGAGTTCCAGACCAGCCTGGGCAACATAGCTAGAACCCATCTCCACACAAAAAAATTTTTTTAAATTAGCTGGGCATGTTGGCATGGTAGTTCCAGCTCCTCGGGAAACTAAGGAGGCTGAAGCAAGATTGCTTGAGCCCAGGAATTTGAGGCTGCAGTGAGCTATGATCGTACCACTGGACTCCAGTCTGGGCAACAGAGCAAGACGCTGTCTCAAAAACAAAACCACAACAGCTACCATTTGTTGGGGACCTATTATGTGCAGTACACTATGCACACAATAGGCTATCATACTACAAAGGTAGGCAGCTTTACATGGGCTATCTCATTTAACAGCTGCATGATTATAAAACTCAGTCACACGGGGTTTTTGACAGGCACCATTCTCAACCACCAAGAGAAATGGCTGAGTAGATGGGAGAAACGTCTGCACTCGAAAATGCCAATCAAATAGTCTTTTTAAAACAGAACTTTTGAGCCAGGGTAGGTGGCTCAGCCTGTCATCACAGCACTTTGGGAGCCCACGGGTTCGAGACTAGCCTGGGCAACTTGGCGAGACGTCTCTACAATGAATCAAAAATTAGCTGGGCCTGGTAACATGTGCCTGCAGTTCCGGCTACTTGGGAGGCTGAGGCAGAAGAATCGGTGGAGCCCAGCAGATCGACACTGGGGTGGCCGTGAGCCTGCCACTGCACTCCAGCCTGGGTGACAGAGTGAGACTCCAACTCAAACATAAATAAATAAAATGGAACTTTTGGCATGTTCTGCTGTATTCTGCAGTCCCGTGGGACATGTCATTTGCCTGCAGGTCAAAGCAAACACGCGTCCCAACCCTTCAACCTCAACAGCTGCAATGTTTTCTCTTTAGAAGGAAGGAATGCAGGGACAAGCTAAGAGACTGCACGGGTATTTTTTTCTAAGTTCAAGCACATACTTGAGAGATGCCTAACAAAGAACAGGTCATGCCAATGAAGTGAAAGGGCAATTCAACTCATCTTTAGGCAGGCACAAATGACGCTGGAATTTAGGAGAGTATTTCCTGCATATTATCCAGTTGAATATTAACACCGGGACAATCAACTAAATTAAATATATTAAGGAAACGACGTAGAAAGATCACATTTGTAAAAGTGGAGAGAGTTGAACTGCATAACTTCCTCAGGAAAATGAATGCAAAAGTGGAACGAGCTTTATGCCAGAATCATACTGCTAGTAATTTATCTGCCAAATTTCACTTGGGTCCTCTTATTCTAGGTAGTCTGAGTGTTTTCAGTTGGTATCAAACACATTGACATTTTTTTTTTTTTGAGTCAAAAGTCTCACTCTGTCGCCCAGGCATGTGCACGGCCATCCCAGCGTTGACCTGCTGGGTTCAGGCAATCCTTCTGCCTCGGCCTTCCAAGTAGCTGGAGCTACAGGCCCACGCTACCATGCCTGGCTAATTTTTTTTTTTGGATATATTGTAGAGACAAGGTCTCACCAAGTTGCCCAGGCTGGTCTCGAACCCCTGGGCTCAGGCAATCCTCTCAGCTCGGCCTCCCAAAGCGCTGAGATTACAGGCTTGAGCCACCGTGCCTGGTCACACTGACATTTTTCTAACTTAGTAAAGTCCCATCTTGCTTCAAACTGCTCATGGGTGTCTATAGGTTCATATATGGACACCTGTGAGCGGTGTGAAACAAGAAAAGCATTTTTGAAGCACTTGTGCCTCAAACAAGTGGCCTCAGAAACAGCACTGGACATACTGAGTGTAAAGACCACGACTTGATCTTTGTATTTGACACTTAACATACTAATATCAAGGGCTTCAACTGTGAAACCTCACAAAACGCTACGGAGTTTGAGATGACCGAAGAGAAATGACATCTTTCATCTCTATCGTCGGCCTCAGATACACAGAAACGAGAGACCCTGCACAACTTTCCTCTTTTGTCTTCCTATAGGTAACATTCCTGTGTGTTCTCGTATGTTGAGAAACTGACCTTCGGCAAGCAGAGTATTCCTTGATACATTAGACAGACACCCTGGGAAACTGTACGGTCTGTATCCTTTAAACTCCTCGGTGACATAAAGTAAATGCGTCTCGGTCCATGGTGAAGCCTTCGTAAGTCAGATGTCATTGACAACATCACCACCACTCGGGACGCTGAACAATCATTTTGAGAACAATGGCCTTTTAAAAAAGGCCATCTTTTTTAACCCACTTCTTCCAAAATTCCATTTTCTAAAAAGGTCAAATTAAATCTGATCGTTTTACTAATATATATTAGGGTGGTTGCAATAAACTGAAAATTTCATGGTTATTTGATAGGTTGAAAGTCTATTCTTTTAGCTATGCCCAAACTGAAGCTAAACTGAAAGAAAAATTATAAGCAAATCCTAAAAATAGGAAGCGTATTTTCTTTTTTTTGAGTGAGAGATCTCACTCTGTCATCCAGGCTAAAATGCAGTGCTCACAGCTCACCGCAGCCTTGGTTTGCTGGGCTCAAGTGACCCTTCTACCTCAGCCTTCCAAGTAGGTGGGGCTACAGGTGTGTACCACCACGCCCAGCTAATTTTTTGATTATTTTTTTTTTTGTAGAGACGAGGTCTCACCAAGTTGTCCAGGCTGGTCTCGAACCCCTGGGCTCAGGCAATCCTCTAGCCTCAGCTTCCCAAAGTGCTGGGATATAGACATGAGCCACTGCGCCCAGCCAGAAAAAATATTTTCTACAGTAATATAAGGTTCTATTTTTCTAATGTAAAGTAATAATTAAGAAAATCTCTATTTCTGTGTAACAGATATAAACGTGCCCATCTACCAGAGAGGTTTAAAAATACCAGCACAAGAAATAAAGATGAATCTAAAAGACAGAGCAAAAGAGGAGGGGGTTTCATGGAAAGTCTTTTATTATCAGAACGGTAGGGTTTCCTAGGTGAAAGATCTATTTATCACGTTATTTTTTCAAGTAGCAAAGTCGCTCCATGGCTTCCAGGTGTGTCTACACGTATATAAAAGGCTGCCTAGGGCCCGTTCCACCCCTGCCCGGCCAGGGCTAGCAGGAAGTTGTGGCCGTGACAGCTTCCCCCATCACGATGGCTTCCTCTTTATCTCAGTCTTGAACTCTAGCATGCTCCTCATTCATCCTCTTGCTGATTTCTTTTCTGTCAAAGAAAACAAAGAGTACACTAAAAGACAGTACATTCCATTTGGGGTATTTGCTCAGCCATGGGAACTTTTTCTGTCGGCAAGTATGATTTTCTAGAGGCCTTGGCAAAAGACGTTTGAAAATTGTCATGGAAAAGCATGCCTTAACTAATACATTCAATGCGTTTAGACCGGCATGGTGGCTCACACCTACAATCTCAGCACTTTGGGAGGCCGAGGTGGGAGGATCACTTGAGTCTAGGAGTTCTAGACCAGCCTGAGCAACACAGCGAGACCTCCTCTCTACAAAAAATAAAAAAAGTTAGCTGGACATGGTGATGCGTGCTTGTAGTCCCAGATACTTGGGAGACTGAGACTGAAGGATCGCCAGAGCCCAGGAGGTTGAGGCTGCAGTGAGTCGTGATCATGCCACTGCACTCTAGCCTGGGAGACGGGGTGAGACCTCAACTTAAAAAACAAGAAAAGCCACAGAAAGCAAGTTTGTTGCTTTGGCTCCTGGGCAAATGATCCTCAGGTGTTTGAGTATTTTGTCTTTCTTCCACATGTACAGAAACACACACGTCCACGTGCCCCCTGAGTGGCATCTCCACACTGCAGAGACAGGGTCTTCTCGTAGCCCTGTAATGATCCCTATGTACTCTTCAAAGTGAGAAGCATTATAAAAAGTGTTAAAAAGCCTGTGTGGCATACGGACATTTTCTGTCACTCCAACCTACACATTATTCCTTCAGCTCACTTCATGCTTCATCATAAAATGATCTCACTCAGTGCCGCGGTTTCTTCCGTTTACAATCAGGAAATAAAAGTCCAGGTAACATAGGGCTAGAATAAAATATTATAAAGCCAACGGTGTCAGGATCTTTACGGGGACAAAAAAAAGCCAACTGGAAAACCAATTTGGAAAGATGGCGGCATGCTAGATACACATCTGCTTTACCAGCTTCAGGAAGTCGATGAGTTTGTGGGCGTCCTCCCCCGTGGAGAGGTCCACAAAGTCCTTGGGCAGGCGGTAGCTCAAGTAGGGGCTGGGCTGGACTGTGGCCTCACTGGTGGTACAGCGGAAAGCTGGGGCATCCTGTACAAAGAGAGAAAAGGAAAGTCTGTGAGCAATTTATTCTCAGGCCTGTTCTCCCACTACAAAGGAGCCTCGCGGAACAATTCCAACGCCACGTTCTCTTCCTTTCTAGGCAAGGAGAAGATAGAACTCGAAAGTAAAAGAAGGCACCAAGACTTGGATTCTAGTATTCACCAGAAAATCACCATGAGGAATCCAGAAAACAGTTATCCTCATGGAGAGCGAGGTCGCTCCTTAAATGCCACCAGAGCACAGCCACTGTGTGCTGCAAATGGTTACAGTCATCTCTGGTCTCCAGCAAGCTCCCCTGGAACAGAATGTTTTATAGATACGCTTCTTTTCCTCAGGTGTGCAGTGCTCGCTTAATAGACAGGCGACAGAGAGGACACATGGGTGCTCTGAGCTCCCTAATGTTTTTGTGCTTCCTTTAGGTCATGTAACTTAGCCATGTCCCGCTCTCATTGCCTATGAAACACTGAGCAAGTGGTCTCTACATTCTTTAGTGCACTTGTAGAGTCTTGCTTAATACAGGCACATGCTGCTTCATGCCAAAGAGCATTTCAGAGGCAGAAGGCCTCGGGTGTGAACGTCCTGGGTGGCAGATATCTAAGTGGGAATGGGTGACATCCAGCAGGTGGAGACAGGACAGGAGCCCAGGCAGATCAGGGCTGTGGAGCCCTAGAACACCAGGCTGTAGCTAACAAGAGACAGACCAGCCACCTGACAGACGGTTACGAAACATATGCTTTGTGCTGGACCTTGTTCTAGGCATGGAGATCAGTTGGGAAACAAGACAGGGAGACAGACGCTAAGCCAGCAGACAGGACAACAAACGAACAAGTTCCATTCCAGAGCATGTTCGTAAAGTCCATTTGTTGTAAGTCTAACAAAGGCAGCCTAGGTGCCCGACTAACACAGCCAGCCAGATAGTACTGTATGTATTTAACAGGCTGTACTGTTACTTGGTGGAGACAATATATTAAAAAATGCAGGTGTGTATCATTAAAGTTCATAATTTGAAGGTTTGCATGTAGGGGACTTATTGTATATCAACAAGATCATTTCAGATAGCAAAAAATGCCACCGAAACAAATAAATGGGGCGACAGACCAAGAGGACAATGATGCAAACCATTTTAGAAGGGTGGTCAGCTAAGACCTGGCCAAGGAGGTAGGTACCGTGGGGCTGAGAACTGCCTGGGGATATGAGGTCAGCCTCATGAGGTTGGGGAACAGAAGGAGCTTTGAGGCAGTGGAAACAGCTAGGGCAATGACCTTTAGGCAAGAGAGGGCTTTGTAGCTCACGGAACAGAGGGAAGGCCAGGTCTCTGTGACCTAAGCATGGGGGAGACAGACAAGAAGTGGTGGGAGACAGAGGCGGAAACCTGTCCCCATCTCCCTTCTGTCATCCCCCAACCACCAATATTTAGAAGAAATAAATAAGGCCAGGCGCGGTGGCTCATGCCTGCAATCCCAGCACTTTGAGAGGCTGAGACGAGAGGACTGCCTGAGCCCAGAGGTTTGAGATCAGCCTGGGCAATTTGGCAAGACCTCCTTTCTACAATAAATAAATTATCCAGGTGTGGTGGCATGTGCCTGTAGTTCCAGTTACTTGGAAGGGTGAGTCAGAAGGATCACCTGAGCCCAGGAAGTTGGGGCTATGGTGGTCATGAGCGTGTCACCGCACTCCAGCCTGGGCTGGAGTGAGACTCCAACTCAAATACATACATACATTCATACATACATAAATCAAGTTGGATCAAACTGTTTCAACCATTGTATCCTTCATATTTAAAAAGAACACCCGTGCTGGGTAACTGAAATTTTCCTTCCATGTCCCTCAGTTTTAATGATCCACTACTATGTGAGGCCCACAGAGCTCACATTCCTTCATTCCTTAATCTGACAAGCATTAACTGTGCCTGACATTGTGCTGAGCCACACAGACACATCAGGAACGACCCTGTTCTCAGAGGTTTGTGTCTCACGCAGGAGGCAGGTGAGTCCGCAGGCCATCTGCACACTGAGTGCCACCCAGGGTAGATACAGCCCAACTCAGAGCTGGGGAGACAGGGCCAAGAAGGCCAAGGATGGAGCAATGACTCCAGGAAATACTTCTGAGACGGGCAAAAGAAAAGACACTCACGGGAAGGCAGAGAGACAGTCAGAAAGGCGGGAAGAGCGCAGGAGACAAATGTGTGTCCCAGGGACTGAGGGAAGCGAGCGGCTGGACAAGGAGGTGGCCACGTGTGCAAGTCCTGCCCGTGGCTCAGCAGGATGAAGACTGGGTCTTCTTCTCCAGGATTCACAAGTGCTGGAGATTTCCAGGGAGTGGCAGGGCCGAAGCTGATGGGCAGAGGGTGGGGGCACCCATGGCAGCAGGGGGGACCAGCACCCACAGAGGCTGGCTGTGATGATGCACAGCACCGAGTGGCTTATTTATTTTTATTTTGAAAATCAGTTTTGTAGAGATGGGGAGTCTCACTACGTTGATGAGGCTGGTCTCAAACTCCTGAGCTCTGGCAATTCTCCCACCTCAGCCTCCCAAAGTGCTGGGATTACAGGCGGGAGCCACCCACACCTGGCCCCACTGAATGGTTTAAAAGACGCAAATCCCATGACAGCAGCAGCGCAACTAGTAAGCTCCTACTTCTATGAAAGTGTGCGTATTTCTACCGACGAGGGCCCGGAAAAATACTATCTGAAGTGGCAAGGATGGCTGTTTCTAGGTGGTAGGATTTCAAGTCCTGCCTCTTTCTAATTTTCTCAAATGACCATGTAAAACTAAAACTACTTTTAGACTGAGGCGGAAGGATCGCTTGAGCCCAGCAGGTCAGGGCTTGTGGTGGCCCTGAGCGTGCCACTGCATTCCAGCCTGGGTAACAGAGTGAGACTCAGACTCAAAAAAAACAAAAAACTAAACTACTTTTTAGGTGGCAGGGTTCCAGGTGATTTTATAATTCTCTTTAAAAATAAGCACGTATAGCCGGGCTTGGTGGCTCAGCCTGTAATCCCGCGCCTTTGGGAGGCTGAGGTGAGTGGATTGCCTGAGCCCGTGGGTTCGAGACCTGCCTGGGCAGCGAGACCTCATCTCTACAATAAATCAAAAAATCAGCCTGGTGTGGTAGTGTGCGCCTGTAATTCCGGCTACTCGGAAGGCTGAGGTGGAAGGATCGTCGGAGCCCAGCAGGTCGAGGCTGTGGTGGCTCGAGAGCGGCCACTGCACTCCAGTCTGGGCGACAGAGTGAGACTCCAACTCAAAAAAAAAAAAAAAAAAAAAAAAAAGCACGTATTACTTTTACAGGCAGAAAGAAGCGATGCAAAGTTGGTGTTTAAAGGAAGTTTGGCTGTGAAGCTGAGGAGACAGGAGAGCAGCCAGGCGAAGGCGATCTTGTTTCTAGGTTGGGAGACACCTGGACGCAGCTAAATCTGGCCGGCAGGGAGCTGGCAGCGAGGAAGAGCCTGGAGAAACGTTACCAGGTGCTGGGAGGGAGGGACGTGCTGACGGTACAGAGACCAGATGCAGGCGGGTCAGACCCATTTCTAGGTCTGATGACCGTTCAGCTGTGGGAATTCTCAAGAGTGAACTGTGTTCCTGCAAAGAGGAAGTAAAATCTCCTTCAAGAGGAAGGGAGAAAAGGCCAAGATGGAGACCCGAGGCACTGGAGAAGGTGAGAACCAGTCGCTGTGAGTGACGGAGGGGAAGGCTAAGCGGAAACGAGTCGTGAGCCAGAGGCCAGGCTGGGGAGAGGCACGCGTCTGTGCGTGCGGAAGCTGCACTCTCAGCCTCAGCAGCCGGGGCGGGGGTCAGCACAGACGCAGGAACTGATCCAGGGTCAAGAATCTCCCAAGTGGGCAGGACAGAGGAGCTAAGAGAAAGAAAAGGAACTCGAAAAATGCATCAAAAATGCTTTTTTTTCTTTTTTTTTTGAATCGAGGACTCACTTTTTCACCCTGGAGTGCAGTGGCACGATCACGGCTATCGTGGCCTTGACCTGCTGGGCTCAGGTGATCCTCCCACCTTAGTATCCCGAGTAGCTGGGACTACAGGTGTGCACCACTATGCCCAGATAATTTGTTTTTTATTTTCTTGTAGAGATGAGGTTTTGTGATGCTGCCCGGGCTGGTCTTGAACTCCTGGGCTCAAGCAATCCGCCCGTCTTGGCCTCCCAGAATGCTGGGATTACAGCTACTGCGCCCGGTGATTATTTCTTTATATAAAGTTACGTGAATGAATCACAGTGAATACCCTTCTTTGGTCACCTCCACGGGCAAGTAACTACCTGGGTTATACTGCACACTTCCCAAGGATCCCAGCCACTGCATCTAAAGCACAAGCAGTCAGTGGACCAAAAGGTTTACCTCCCATCTTTTAAAAAATGCCTTACCTGCTCCTGGGCATCTCCTTCACTGAAGTCACCTTTTAAGTTTTTCCCAGATATCAGTTCTTCCCAAGTGAACAGCAGTGAATCCGTGACTTCACCAAATGGATTAAAGTCAATTAGCCACACTTTGCCCTGAGTGCAGAGAGAAAAAAGTAATACACATACAATAAACACAGTCTGTTCTGTTTTGTTAGAAAGACAGTTTTCATATTCTTTCTCCCAAAAGACGATCTGAAAGACCCAACTCCTAACTCATCCCCCAAGCCCGTCCCTCCAGGTCCCACTGAGAAAGGGCCGCCTACATTGCATCGTCAACTGTGAATGCAGAGAGGGGACAGAGGAAGGAAAGACTCGTGGAAAACATTTCTTCCAACCTAGCCTCGACTCCAAGGCAATACTTCAAGCAGGAAAAAGGAAAATCTCACAAAAAGGCTGAGCAGCCACAGTCGACCGAAGAGCCTTCTGGGCCTTCGACGCCACCTCGAGGGGAGAGGGGAGAGGCGAGAGGCAAGAGGCAAGGGATGCCGACTGCTCCAGAGAGCAGCACTGCCGGCCTGGGAGGCTGCCGCCAAGGGTAGGGCTGCTTTCTAACACACTGCAGGAAGTATAGACAGCCTCTGTTTTCTTTCCATGTTAATATGTGTTTTGTCTTATGACTGGGCTTGACAGCATATGAAGGGGAGGTGAAAAGAATGCATCAACCTTGGAAAGAAACGTCTACCTTGTCCTGTCCTGAGACCACAGGTGGGCAACCTGGTGGCCCATCCTCGGGAAAGATCACTCCTGGCCTGAGGAGCACTGCACAGAGGCAGAGCCACACGCCTCTGAGAGAAAGTGGCACTGCCCTGACACACAGAGCAGGGAGTGAGTGCCATCCTGCCAGGAATGCACCAATGTGTTTGATTACAAAGACCTGGTGACATGTCGTGGATAAAATGTTTCCTGGAAGCGTTTATCTTTGTCCACTTTGATCTTTCCCACTGAAATGTTCGTATATTTGTACCATGTTGTTGTTAATAATTCGCTTATTTTTTCTGTGAATGTGCAGCCATCATATCTAAGGACTGGGACTGCCGAGCCTGCAATCCTAATGCCTAGAGCAAAATGTTAAGTCAGGTGAGACGCCTGATTAGGACTTGCTTCATTTTTTGAGTTGGAGTCTCACTCCATTGCCCAGGCTGGAGTGCACCGCGTCCGGTGATCCTTCCGCCACTGCCTTCCAAATAGCTGGAACTACAGGACTTGCTTCAAACACCAGCGAGCTCTACCACAGCAGAGATCCCCCACGGGATGTTCCGCCAGGCGCCGGGTGGCGAGGTCCCTGCTTCACATGCGCCCAGGGGCCTCTTGCATGCCTCTCTCGCACCCGAGCCGGCTCCTCACATCAGCTCAGCACCCCCACTTCATTCTCAGGATGATGTGAAGTGCTACCAGCCATCCATCAACTTCTTGGCATGATGTCAGCTTCATTTTAGGGACGATTACTCAGATGTCTTTGACATACTGTGTTATTTTAACAAAATGGTTATTCTAACCTCCAAGCCCTTTCTACTTGACTCTTTATAGCTAGTAAAACCTTCTTCTTCTTCTTCTTCTTCTTCCTCCTCTTCCTCTTCTTCTTATTTTTGAGTTGGAGTCTCACTCTGTCACCCAGGTTGGAGTGCAGTGGCACACTCATGGCCACCCCAGCATCAACCTGCTGGGCTCCAGCAATCCTTCTGCCTCAGCCTTCCAACCATCTTATTTTTTTTAAAAAAAGATCACATCTATTAGTGTAGAAAAACTGGCTCTATAAACTACAATTATGCCACCACGCAAAAAGCTAACAGAACAAATTTAAAAACAAAAGCAAACTCCAATCGTTAGCTGGCAGGGTACGTTCTATAGTTCAGTGGCCATGCTCCAGGAAAAAAAAAAGAAAAGAAAACTGGCTGTCACAGGCATAAAGCTATGAGGACTGGGATTTTAGGGCCACAACAGGTTTTCGAATGTGACATCTCAGGCACAAACATCTTGAAACATTAATTCGGCCGTCAGGCAATCCATAAAAAAACAGCAGTTAGACCAACGGTCCTCACAGCTACCAAATGACCATCCATCCACCCCAGTCAAGCTCGAGGTGCCAGACAAGGTGTCAGGCTTTGGGGTATGAAAATCAATAACAGAATCTAGTCCTTCAAAGAGCTCAGGCAAGGTCAGAACACACACTCACACCTCCCAAAACACAACCAAACTCTATCCAGCATCACAGTATGGAGGATATTCAGCTTCGGCAGAGGCAAGAACCGGGCTGTGAGGCCTATGGGAGACCCGGCCACACACACGGGGAGGGATCTCGAGGTCAGTGGGGTGACGGTCTGTGAGGAGCGGACGGTACAAGGAAAAGTGGACCACTTCAGGGGCAAGTGACAAGAGCAGCTCCCGGTGCAAAGAACACGCGACAATGGCCCGTTCTAGAATAGCCACTGAGGATGAGCATAAAGTACGTGAGGGCCACACACATGGGGGGCTGAGTAACTGTAAAAGTCTCCTGCCCCCGACGGGTTGGCATCACGCTGGACTGAGCCCTTTATACGGAGGGATGAGATTACCAGAAAGAAAGGGGGACTCCGGGGCCAGGAATGAAGAGGGGCCCGAAAAACAGAGCCAAGCGGATCAACAAAGCTGTGGGAGGGTTGTCCCAGCAGACTGGCCACGAGGACATCGGACCTCAGACATGAACTTAAGGGGCCGCGACCTTGGTCAAGAAAGTGTAAGAAAAAAATCCTCATGGTTGGAGGAGATGATGTCTTTCTCGAACTGGGTAGTGGGAAACAGGATAGAAGCAAATGAAAGAGTCGAAATTTAGGAACTTGCGGATTCTCACAAGTAAAATAATGAGCTCACTAAAGATTAGCCCAAAGTGAAATAAGTAAGTTGATTTATAAAACCAAAAAGAAACAATCAACATGAACGAGAGTCTGCAAATACAGCAGGAATTAAAGCCCCAAGAACTTGGGAAAACCATCACTAATCTGAAGATAATATAAAGATATTATGCTGGCACAGTGGCTCACGCCTATAATCCCAGCACTGGGAGAGAGAGATGAGAGGGTTGCCTGAACCTGGGCAACTTGGTGAGACCGTGCCTCCACAATAAATTAAAAAAATTAGCCGGATGTGGTGGTGCATGCCTGTAGTTCCAACTACCTGGAAGGCTGAGGTGGAGGGATCGCCCGAGTCTAGCAGGTAGAAGCTGCAGTGGCCATGAGCATGCCACCACACTCCAGCCTGGGCGACAGAGTGAGACTCCAACTCAATAAATAAATAAATAAAAGACTGGGCGCCATGGCTTACACCTATAAGCCCTGCACTTTGGGAGGCCAAGGTGAGTGGATTGCCTGAGCCCATGAGTTTGAGACCATCCTGGGCAACTTGACGAGTTCTCATCTCTACAATAAATCAAAAAATTAGTCAGGCACGGTGGTGCACGCCTGTAGTTCCAGCTACTTGGAAGGCTGAGGTGGAAGAACCATCTGAGCCCAGCAGAGCGAGGCTACGGTGGCTGGGAGTGTGCCACTGCCCTCCAGCCTGGGTAACAGAGTGAGACTCCAACTCAAAAAATAAAAACAAACAAACAAACAAACAAATAAAATAAAGGTACTGGCAAAGGACAACTGTGTAGAAATCTAGAAGAAGATAAGGTAGACCCCCCAGAGCATTCCAAACAGACACAGGAACAAATGCCCAAATAGAGCAAAGATTTAAATACAAAACAAGAAATCATAAAATAACTGGACCAAAAAAATGAGGTTTCCTTTATCTTTCTTTCTTTTTCATTATGTCTCAAATTCAAAAGCCAGAAAAGATACTGGGAGCGGTGGTTCATGCCTATAATCCCAGTACGTTAGAAGGCCAAGGCAGGAGGATTGCTCAATCCCAGGAGTCCCAGACCAGTCGGGGCAACATAACGAAAGGTGGTCTCTATAAAAAATTTAAAGAAAATTAGCTGGGCATGGTGGCACATTCCTGTAGTACCAGCTATTCAGAAGGCTGAGGGGGAAGGATCACCTGAGCCCAGGAAGTTGAGACTGTGCTGAGTCATAATCATGCCCCTGCACTCTAGCCTGGGCGACAGAGTGAGAACTCAACTCAAAAACAAAGAAATCAAAGCCGATAAAGGAATCAATATTTGATCTTCTTTATGGCAAAAAGACTAATAACATACTGGACTAATAACAGACAAAGGCCTAATCTGTCACATATACAGAGCTCCTATATTTATTGACAACTACCAAAATAAGAGAAATAAAAAACACAACTTCAAAATCATTATGAAGAGTTGAAAAGAAAATAAAGAAATTCCAGTAATCCAAATAAATGGAGGAAGAAGCAGAGAAAAGCTACTAGAAAACTCAAAATGAGATGGTAGAAAACATTCAAACATCAAATACAACAGATGTAAACTAAACTCACCAGCTAAATCAGACATTTTCAGTGGTTAACATAGCAGAACCCAGTAATGTACTATCTAAGATACATGCATACACCTAAAACATAACAGCTAAAAATAAAATGATAAAATGGTAACTCTAAGACCAAAAAAACTCACCAAACTTTAATAATACTATTCACATCAAAGTATACTTTAATGCAAAACGCACAAGAACATTTTAGGGAGAAGGAGGGTCCCTGCCTAATGATGGGATTAACTGGAAAAACGAAAACATCCTGAACTAGCATTTGTTTAAGAATATAGCACAAAAAAGGACTGAATCACAAAGTAGGAGATTTTAAAACACCTTACTTGGTAACTGATAGATCGAGTAGACAAAACATTAGGGGAGATACAATTTCATGGCTTTTAAAAAGTTGCTAGTTTTTCAATAAAGTTTTAAGGTGGGAAAGTATCAACATACACAAAAGTAGGCAAATTGTATAAAGAACCCCACATGCCTCCCTACCCTTTAGTTTCAAGAGTCAGCAACTCACGGCCAACTTCAGCTGATCCACATTCTCATCTGCTCCTCCCAAATCTGTATTATCTTGAAAGACTCCTCAGATACCACTTTATCCATAAGATACAGATTTAAATAACATTATTATTTTTGAGTTGGAGTCTTACTCTGTCACCCAGGCTGGAGTGCAGTGGCATGATCACAGCTGCTGGGCTCATGCAATCCTTCCGCTTCAGCCTTCCAAGTAGCTAGAACTATAGGCCTGTGTCACCATGCTGGCTAACTTTTTGATTTACTGTAGAGACAAGGTCTTGCCAAGTTGCCCAGGCTGGTCTCAAACCCCTGGGCTCAGACAATCCTCTTGCCTTGGCCTCCCCAAGTGCTGAGATTACAGGCATGAGCCCAGTTTAAATAACATAATTAACAAGCTTAATCTAAACAAATCTACAGATTACAGTAAATTCCTAATGTATGAATGAGTTCCATTCTGAAAGCGGGTTTCTAAGTCCAATTTGTTTTAAGTCCAATAAAGTTAGCCTAGGTACCCAACTGCACTTCACACATTAGAAGCTATTATTTTCCAATTAACAAAATTAACAAAAAAGTTACCAAATCACAAAGCCAATCTCAACATCACCAACTCTCTTGAGCAGACGATGTAATCAGTTCATAAAGCAATGAAATCAGAAATTAATAACAATAATCATAGCTGAGAAGAATACATACAGGACAATAATCTTCTAAGAATCTAAGACAGTCATTCTAAATTCTAGCTGGGTATCATCGCTAAAGGAGCTTCTTAAAATACATATTCCAAGGCCACATCCCTGGTCTACTGCCTGAGTGGACCACTACTTTGACAAATTAGAATCTATCAAGTAAACTCAACGTTACACAGTAAGAAATTAGACATATCTGCGTGTTGCTAAGTCTAAACACACTTCAATGAATTATATTTCTTGTAAGAAAGAGACCACCATAAGAGAATTCATTTTCTGCAAGAACAGCCACGGAATTATATTCAAGAAAGTGTCTACAAAGTCTGATACAAGTGCCACAGAGTAAACGCAAATGAGTTTCACATCACAGTTTAAAGCTCTTCTCAGAAGCTGTTAGGATGTTTTTACTGGCACGTTTCTCACTTTTAGAAATGCAACTAGTTTCAGTTCTGCAAGATCACAGCAGTAACTACTTGTGTCCAAGTCCAACTTCACTAAGACATTCTCAGCTCTCTCCCCAAGTTACACATTTGCACCTACCTGTCAGCCCTGGTCAATTACAGTAAACCAGGACATTGGCCAGGAGTATACTGAGAGACTCTGGCAAATCCCAACATTTTCAAATGCCACCACACAGCTGCCTCGGTGCTAGTATCCGTAAATGTGGGTCATTAACACAAACTCACGGGATTACATGGACTGAGTGGGAAACTGAATTAAATGATAGCGAAGCCCTTCTGAGCAATGGGCATGTTCAGGGACCTGGGCCAGTTTACTCACTCACTACCTCACTTGACACTGCCAGTCCACTTCCTGGAGGTTTTAGTGTTCTGCCACTCCATTGCAAGATGACAGACTCCCTGAAGGTCGGAGATCCCCTTGTTCGAAGCTTCTTGCTAGAAGCACATTACAGACTCCCAATACGTGCTGGCTGCACGAGTGACCGGACTTGGCTGGCAAGGACCAGTGGAAGCACAGCCAGGGCTGGGTCATGGGTTCCTACCTGTCGGAGCAGGGTTCCCACCCTCCCCATCACCTGGCTCACCCTTCCCTCCACCTGGCTTCCTACTCTTTTCTAAGGTCAGTTTCTACACAGTTGAAACCTTGCCAGGTGACACCCCTCTTCTTGGCCAAATGTCAATTTATAGCCCTCTTTCTCTTAATAGACAGCATCATCCTTGAAGGCAAAAGAGGTGAAAACATAGTGCTGTCTTTTGACTTAATGGAGTTAAATGAACAGTTAACAGTTATTTTGGGATATAACCATCTGGGCCTTATTTTTTTGTCCAAAAGATGATTCAAAGGTATCGCATGTCTCACTACAATGAAGTGGCTATGAGCACAGAGGGAGAATGAGAAATATTCTCTCAGTGTGTAGGTAACATACCAGAAGACATATCTGCTAGGCTCTTAGCAGCTAAGTCAATGAGTAGTAATCATAGACAACATTTACTGACCTAAACGTCTTTAACAGGTTACATGTCTTGGACAGTGAAATCTCTGCTGTAGGAATTCTTTGTTAAATCAGTAATAAGTAACTTGATTAGTAAGTCCCTTTACTAAGTTTACTTTTTTATCTCAGAAGTTTTCATCACTTTTTTTTTTGAGTCGAAGCCTCACTCTGTTGCCCAGGCTGGAATGCAGTGGCATGCTCACGGCCACCCCAGCATTGACGGGTTGGGGTCAGGTGATCTTTCCGCCTCAGTCTTCCAAATAGCCAGAACTACAGGCACACGCTATCATGCCCAGCTAATTTTTTATTTATTGTAGAGATGAGGTCTCACCAAGTTGCCCAAGCTGTTCTCGAACCCATGGGCTCAGGCAATCCCCTTACCTTGGCCTTCCAAAGTGCTGGGATTATAGGTTTGAGTCACCACGCCTGGCCTGTTTTAATCACTTTTAAGACTTAAGGAATAAACGTAAAGTACTCAAATCATCATCTTCAGTCTAAAGGTAAAAGTGATCCAGGCCAGGCACAGTGGCTCAAGCCTATAATACCAGCACTTTGGGAGGCCAAGGCAGGAGAACTGCTTGAGCCCAGGAGTTTAAGAGCAGCCTGGGCAATGTAGCTTGAGACCTAATCTCTACAAAACATAAAAAAAATTAGCCAGGCATGGTGGCACGGGCCTATTGTCCCAGCTACTTGGAAGGCTGAGGAGGAAGGATCGCCTGAACCCAGGAGGCTGAGGCTGCAGTGAGCTATGATCATGCCACAGTGACAGAGTGAGACCTTGACTCAAAAAGATAAAATAAAAGTGATCATGCTAAAAATATTTTAGTTGGCTAAAAATAATGATGTACATATAAAACAACAAACTATTGGCCACATTTTACTGTATAAACTGAACAATTTTCAGCAGGCCCAGACCTCTGACAGAAGCGTAAAGTAGGACACAAGTGGCTATTCATCTTCCTGTAAATTGCACAATCTTTACACTGTGGCACACGGTTATTGAAGACAGTGTGTCCCTTCATGTTAGGTATAGTTTGAGAGGAGATTCTTGACCACTGCGAATCTTGAGCACCTTAGCAGGTTTAAGAAGATACTTTTTGGGCAGTGGAGCATCCATACATGTAACAGCTGATGACCTGCTAGCTTATAGCAAGACCAACCTTGATTTTCAAGCACATCAAATGCAGTTTGTACTTACCCTGCTGTCTCTGTATACATCGAACACAACTGTAAAGGAGAAAAAAAACTCAGTTATTAATATATCTCATGATCTAAGTCTCCTTTTGAAAATTAAAGTGCATTTTACTACTAGTTAATCAAAGGCAGAATATAATTGATCCTGAGGACTGAATGCTTCTAGATTTCAAAACACCAAATATAAAAACATATCCTGCAACGTTTCATTTATATAATTTTGCTTTATTTTTCTAACCCCACCCATAACCCTTTATATTTAAAAATTCAGGCCAGTCTAACACCTGTAATACCAGCACTTTGGGAGGCCAAGGTGGGAGGATTACTTGAGCCCAGGAGTTCAAGATCAGACTAGGGAAAATAGCAAGACCTCGTCTGTACCAAAAAATAAAAAATTGGGGGTGTGGTGGCATGTGCCTGTAGTCCTGGCTACTTAGGAAGCTGAGGCGGAAGCTGGGCAACAGAGATCCCCAAAGGAAAAAAAAAATAATAATAAGCCAATGTCACCACTATCTAAAAGAGTTCACCACTATCAATTGGTCATGTGGGAATGAAGGATGCTGGCACACAGCAAAGTACCAGTGGAAAGAAAGCGCATCAGTCAGTTATTTGGGAATTAAATGAGTAAAATTTATAATAAGAAAGCACAAAATCTAACTACGCTTGTGGCATAGTTCATCTTTTTGAAAATCTAATCTACCACAGAACACAGTCTTGGCAAGTAGAGAAAATATAAATGACAGCAGATACAATTTTAACATGTATGGAAATTCTCAATGTATTTTCAATTCCTGAAAACAACCCCAAAATGTTGACTTTGTGACTGGTTGCTGTCTTTGTTCTCGGTAGACAGACATTTTGAAATATACAATTAACACCTAAATGCCCAGAGAAAATGGTCCCAGTGTTAGAAATGGATTCTAATGAAGATGAAATTAACACACAAACCATCTGCAATACCAAATAATAACACAGTAAAATGCTTACAATATATTTCAAATTCAGTTATTAAAATATGTGCCATGGGTGAAATAAGGTCCAGGAACATCATATATTTCTTTTCATTTCACTGGCTCAATAAAAAATACTCACAGTCTTCATCTAAGAATTTATATTGTATATGCTTCTTGAAAAAATCTTGTATGCCTCTGCAGATTTCTTCCATTTGTTTAGAAATATGATCGTAGTACTGTGTGTAGTCCCTCTGAGAAATACCTGATGAGAAAATATTTTATGTTCTGTTATCATAGAATATTCTTTTCAAAACCACCCACCTGTGATTTAAACTTTTTTTTTGGAAAGAACCCATTGAAATAGCTTAGGCCAACCCAATGGACACTGCAGCATACATTACTTAGCTGTAAAAATTCACATGGCTAGGTGAATTCTAATGTATCATATCCCCATTCGTACAATGGAAAGAATTTCAAGTCACAAAAAGGCTTATTATGCAAAAAAAAATTGAAAGAAGCAATTCTAAACCTGCGCACATAATCACCTGCTGCTGCTCTGATTTCTTCCAAGAAAGTCTCTGCAAATTGGTATTCGTTTCTAGTTTCTTTGGAAAAATATAAAATATTCTTCCCCATCTGTTAGCCATATTCATACTGCACTTCATAGAAGCAGTCTATTTTTCTTGTTCATACATGCTACTCTGACTTCACAAGCCCGATCTTTCCAGCCATGGAAAAGTAAACATTTCTTTTTTCAGAGTGACTTGCTGACATTATTCCAAATACACTAGAGGGACTATTATATGAACACCCTCAATTTGCTCCAGTTCTAGGAAAAGGATCTTGCTCTGAAATAAGGGTTTCTAATTCCTTAAACATATATCAATATGACTTCCTTTTTAGCATACTTATACTGCAGTGTTTTTTAGGAATATCTAACAATATGATCAAATCAAACACCCCAAGTTTTTTTTTAAGTAGGCTAATAAATGTCAGCATCATATTCAATGAATAAATAGTATTAATTTGATTCTATTCAAATTTTACTTTTCATTTTCTTTTTCTTTTTTTTTTTTTTTGAGTTAGAGTCTCACTCTGTCACCCAGGCTGGAGTGCAGTGGCACACTCATGGCCACCCCAGCGTCAACCTGCTGGGCTCCGGCAATCCTTCCACCTCAACCTTCCAAGTAGCCAGAATTACAGGCATGTGCTACCATGCCCGGCTAATTTTTGATTTATTGTAGAGACAAGGTCTCACCAAGGTGCCCAGGTTGGTCTCGAATCCACGGGCTCAGGCAACCTATTCGCCTCAGCCTCTTGAAGTTCTGGGATTACAGGCCAAATTGTACTTTTCTTGGTTAAACATAAATTTTACTTCACCAAAAACATGCATAAACAAACAAGAAATAAATAAGGTATATTCAATATTTATCTTGAATAAATCATAGCAAACAAAATCGTAAAGAAAACAGATGACTTTTAGAATAGTCTTACTTGTCTACATATTTTCTCTTGCTAGAATAATAAACAGTACCCCAATAATAGAAATCAAGGTTAAAAACTTTGGCTTTTTAAGATGCTTAAAATAAGCAATCTATCGCAAAATAATACTCAGGAAAATCTCAAACAAAAGTAGGTAATATTATACATATCCTAAATCAGGAATGGTTATGACCATCATTTTCATTCCTGGAATCCAGACAGACATGATTGACAAAGGCTTGTTCTGTGGAAACGAATAAGGACATAGGATCCTTGTTCACAGAGCATACAAGAGAATTAGTACCAGTGTGTCAGAGTGGTACCTAAGATGAAAACGGATTGATTTCTCTGTTCTCAATACTAAAAATTAACTTGCAACAAAATTTTGTCTTCTTCTAAAGATTACTTTCAAGGATACAAAAAACTCACCAATAAGCTTGTTTTCTTTGACAAAACATCGAAACTCAGCCCCAGGAATTAATTCACACCATTTTCGAAGAACAAGCTACAGACAAAAAAATATATAAAACACAACTATTAACAAGGTCTAATAGACAACCGTATGCCAAGCTGCATCTTAACGATGGCTATTATTAAACCATTTTTTAAAAAAGGCATCATAAAACCTCCTTAACATGCAATGCAGGGAACAGAGTTGTGATCTATTATTCTAATAAGCAGGAGAAATTGCTAAACACTTTATGACAAAAATGCATCTTTGTCACTTACTTGCCATTTTGAGACATCTGACACAATACACAACACCAAGGACAGCTAAGTTAAATCTTATCACCGCTGTGTCTTAAACTGCCAATAATACACATGTAGTGAACCCCTTTAAGACTATACGAAAATAAAATAATTTCAGTGATTTACCTTTAGTACTATTTAGTGACTTGTACTCTGATAAAATTATTATTGCAGTTTGCCACAAAGAATCACGATAACCTTTTCTCATTATCTTAAAGTATATCAAATCTTCCAGTGGCCCAAGTCATAAGTAAGTCTTATTACTGCAATTAATCATTATTTAAAATATATAAACTCTCATGTACTATTGAATTGCTACAATTTTAGGAACAGTACGGTTGGCAAATTCATGCTTCTGCTTGGGTTTTGTAAGTGTGCTTGGGAGACACCAGTCCTGTTCTTGGGCAGCATTAACTGACACATGGCTAGCACCCCCTCCCACCCCCATGCCTTTTGCCCTTCAAGACCTGTGGGATGGCACTTGGAGGACCCTAGGCGCCCTTCCCTGAGTCCCGCAGTGGGCTTAGTCACCCCCACTGCTTCCCAGAGCTTCTTGTGCATAAGCTTTTGTCCTAAGCACACAATCCCATTTCACGTTGTGCCGTGACAATCTGATGGAGGTCTCTCTTCCCTACTAACAGGTATGTTCCCAAGGGGTAAGGAACTGGGTTTTTTTCACCCTTGTGTTCCCAGCACAAGAATGTAAAATATAGTAGGTGTGTAAGAAATGTCTGTCAAGTGAAATAGCCAATATAAGATACGCAGTCACTAAAAATCATGCTATAAAAATATTCAGTGGCCTGGGAAAATGCTCCCACTATATCCTAAGTAAAAATAGGCTACAAGATGGTATGCGAAGGATTCTATAAAGATGATGGGTCTACAGATTCACCCGTGGATCTCAAGAAAGGGAAATTCAAGACCAAAATGTCAGTACTGAGGGTGTCAATCTCTGGGTGGTGCCTTCCTCACATTTCTAGGATCTGTAAAATTTTGGTAATAAATTTCTCTTCCTAAAAAAAAGAAACTATTTCAAAAATATGCCTTATAAATTTAAAATGTACTGATTTCATTTTTCATTTCTTGTGAGCTCTTGGTCAAGTCCTGTATATATCACATTTTAAAAAAGAAACGAATTATTAAATGAGGACCCCAAACTAATATATTGCACAGTTCTTGTCTAGTAAAAGCTCAAATTGACACATGGATATATATGTATATTTGTACACCTTTTTGACCACAGTAATTTATATTTAGCAACACACAAATAAGAAACTGTGGCACAATAACAGCAATTTTTTGGAAAATGTGCATAATCTTTAGTGCAGGTCATACACACACTGTGGTTAATTAAAAAGAAACAAAAAGGAGCAAAGGATGACTCTCCCCCATCCAGTCCCTCTGACTTTCTCTTCAGAGGCACCCAGTGCCATCAGGTTCTTGTATGTCTTTCTAGAAGTATGCAATAAATATACAAGTATACAATGCATGTATATATACATTTAAAATAGAACATGATTCAGCATGCAACTTTTCTCTCTCCTCTTAATTACTCAAAGAATTTCACCTTTCTAGGCTGGTAAAGCTGAACCTTATGCACTGACATGATCCACCCCCTAAAACAGCAGCGAGAGAGCAAACTGCTCGTAAATAGATCTTGGGAGGAACTGATGGCATCTCAAAGATGATGCCTAGGAGGAAGGCTAAAGAAGTCATCTTTTCAGCCGGGTTCGGTGGCTCAGTCTGTAACCCCGCGCCTTTGGGAGGCTGAGGTGAGTGGATTGCCTGAGCCCGTGGGTTCGAGACCCGCCTGGGCAACTTGGCGAGACCTCATCTTTACAATAAATCAAAAAATTAGCCAGGCATGGTATTGCGTGCCTGTAGTTCCAGCTACTTGGAAGGCGGAGGCGGAAGGATTGCCGGAGCCCAGCAGGTCGAGGTTGCAGTGGCCGGGAGTGACCACTGCACGCTAGTCTGGGCGACAGAGTGAGACTCCAACTCAAAAAAAACCAAACAAAACAGAAGTCATCTTTTCATTTTTGTGTTCCCAGCATAGCAGGTGCTTAATAGAGGTTTGTTCAGCAAAACAGTAGATACGAATATATTATATACATATAAAGTTATAAGAATGCTTAAGAACCTGGGAAAATGTTCACACTACGCTGCTAAGTGGGAAAAAAACCTCACCAATGGTATTTAAGGATGTCAATTACAAGTGCTCTAAGATCTAGCAATTAATTGTTTGGTGGCTTGACAGTAATTAACTGTTCCACACATACTGTATGATGACAGAAGATATGCCAATATATGCACTCAACACACTAAAAATTACTCAAGACAGTGAGTCAGTAGACATATTTTGAAAGCATGTGTATGTATATACAAAAGTAGTCAGAAGCAAACAGACATTGAAGATATTTTTAACACATCACTGCACTAATTCTAATTGGTGTTATAAAGCCAAGAATGAAAATGCAATTTTCAAGTAAATGTACGAACTGCAATCACAGAACAAAGATGGCCACCCTCTTTGCAATACAGCATGAACTGTCAGTTTTCAACGCATAACCCAAGTGTGAGAAGAACCAGAAGCGGTGTGGGTAAGAGCCTTCAGGGATGCAGCTGAAACCTGGACTCAGCATTTACGAGAAAGTATTTTCCAGATTCCCTCATGACAGCTGGGGAG